TTATTGTTTAATTGCTTCAGATCGAATATGCAAAAGACAAAAAACAACAAAAGCAAATAATAATAATAATAATAATAATAATAATAGCAAGCCTGGTTATAAAATGAAGGAAAAGATTATCTCGCTTTCTGACATATTGAAAGAAAAATTCAATTGCGATCTCGTTAGGTTGAAAGAAAGAAAAAAAGAAAAACTTAAACGGAAAGTTGAAAAAAAAAATAGAACCGAATACACACGGAACCTATTTCTCTCTCTCTCTCCATCTCTCACCGTTTGCAATCTACCCACCCTTGCAATCGCCACCCCCCACACGGACACCCCCACTCTATGCTCACACATGCGCTGAGGTTTTCAAACGCACATGTGTATGCATACAAGTAGAATCATACACTGAGACATCGAAGTAAACAAACACTATCTCTTACACGAACAAGCGCAAAAAAATCCCTCCTTTTTAGCCTTTAACTTTTTTTTTTGCTTTCTTTTATTTCTTATACTTACATACTAGCTCTCTCTCTCTCTCTCCCTCTCTCTCTCTTTCGTTCTTTTACAAACATTTAAATAATCTCTCTCTCTCTCTCTTACAAACAGATTATCTCTTCATATGGTCTTAAAAGTACAAACTCTGTCGCAAAAGCAACGTTTTCCTTTCATATAGATATACATATATAAATTCAATCATCCTGTTGCATTCAAACTCTCTCCTTTACAAAAAACACCTTTATTTCCCTCTCTTAAATAGACTGACGTAGGTATTTTCTCTCTCTCTATCTCTCTCTCTCTCTCACACACACACACACATACACACACACAGAGAGGCAGTCACACGTACAAAGTCTCTTTATTGCCCTGACGAAGCAAACGTTTCCCTATTAACAAAAACTGTATATTTCTTTCTCTCTCTTAACATAGAATGTTTCACTCACAAACATACTCTCCTACTCTCTCTTTCTCCTACACACAAACTGTCTTTCCTCCACGCACATAAACTCTCTCACACGCACAATCTCTCCCTCTCTCACTCGTACATCATTATTTCAAAATGTGCATTTTTTTTTCCCAAACCCAATTTCTAAATGATAAAATCATTACAACATCCAATTTTGTTTAGTAGAGAAACTTGTTTAACGATTACCTTTTCACAGTTATTTTAGAAGGATTTTAAAAAGGTGGTAGTTAAAAAGCACATCTTGCAGGCCATTGATTGTGTGCTTATTCCTCGCAACCTGCACCCCACGTCCGTTGTGACTGCGTTCAACAGGTCTAAACTAGTTGCTTCTTTGTTGCCTTTTGTACTGCAAATGTCTCCAAATTAGTTCTGCAGAGGATTGCTAATGCAACGATTTCGCACCTTACCGAGTGCTGCATAACGATGGCCTTGTGTCAGACTATAGTAGACTTAATTGAATGAATATCTACAAAAGTAAAAAAAAATGATAAAATCAATATTTCTTCTGTGTGTCGCGTCCTTTCAGGACGTAGTAGATCACGGCTCTCCACATCTTCCTGTTCCTTCTAGTTCTTAGCAAAGGTTTGTCTCTTTGCCAAACCTCCCGCCACTCGTTTCACCATTAGGAAGATGGCGTACCGCCCTCCTCTGTCTATTTGGTCTTCAGTGTTTCCTGTGGGTGCCAAATTCTTCAAGCCCCCATTCATCTCAGCTGTTTCTGATTCTGAGTATCATTGTTCATTATAAAGCTTCTTTGATGGTTACACACTCAGAACATGGTAAAAGGGACCCCATCCTCCATATATCACCCCACCCCGCTTCAAGCACCATTTGACGTATAGGGTTCGACTTTATTTTATATATTCTTTTTTTTTATTTCAATTGTTTCTTTAACGGCATATCAATTCCTTTATGGGTCATTTAATGCCGAATTTTAAATTTCTTTTGGCGTTTAAAGTAATAAAAATATGATATACGTTATTTTGCTTTCACAATCGAATACATGGTAAATAATACGCAGCATTTATGCATAAACATCTTAGTATAAACATAAGTACTAGAGGCAGTGATATGTATGTTTTAAGTTGTAGTTTTAAAACAGTTATATTTTGAAATACATTTTGAGTTAAGAAATTGTAGGATATTATATTGATTAATACCATGAAAGTGTTCCTTCATGTTGATTCATCTATTGTTAATAGTTTTCGGTAAATAGGTATTGTTTGTATTTTCTTTTATATAAAAATATGTGGCTGGTATTTTTACTATAAAGATGTATTTGATATTTTCATAGGGTGTTCTTTTTGTTTGATAGCTGGAATCTTAACAGGTGCTACAACCCCGGGTCATAGTGGACCTGGGAATGAAAACAATTAAGAGATAGTTACACTTCTTCTACTGCCTTGTTGCTCTCTTTGTCTCTCTCTTCTCTCTGCCTCTCTCCATATATATATATATATATATATATATATATATATATAAAGATATTTTTGTAGGTACAAAATTTAATTACAGAAAAAAGTGTGAGCTTGATATTACCAGACATATTAAATTTAATATGTCTGGTAATATCAAGCTTCACACTTTTTTGTTTCTATATATATATATATATATATATATATATATATATATATATAGAGAGAGAGAGAGAGAGAGAGAGAAAGAGATGTCTGGTAATATCAAGCTTCACACTTTTGTTTTGTATATATATATATATATATATATATATATATATATATATATATATAGAGAGAGAGAGAGAGAGAGGGGGATGTTAATAATTTGTACCGTTCTAAGTTAAGAAATAATGTCTTCTCCTTATTTTGCAATTTTTTCAGGCCATTGTCCTCATTTATGCTTGCTTTTATCAAACGATTCGGCCGA